GTGGGGCGTCTGCAACAAAATGTTGTAGTGTAGAGCACTGTGCTGCACCATTCCAGCCAGGCCAGGCCTTTCCCTTTCCCAGCAGGTTTTCCCTTTGCTCTCATTGGTATTTTAGGCATTCTTCCTTCTGTTTTTTCCCCTTTTTCCTGTTCTTTCGCAAACATGCTGATATTTTTCTCTTGTATGTTGATGATGCTGTTTTGGTTTTATCAGTCACGGCACTTACAGCTTAAAGCCGCCTCCCCCAACCTGGTACCTGGCAGCCATGTTGCATCCTCTGCCAGCGTGGGCACCAGGCTGAGGAAGGCTGCTTCAGAAAGAGTGAATGAGAGGCCTTTAACAGGGGGACAGTCTATCCCCACGAGCCCTTCTGTACGCCGCAGAGGATTCTAGGATGCGTGTTGTTAATGCAAGGTGCTGGTTAGGCCTCTCTGGGCTTCACCCTTACCTTGGGTAAACTGGGGATGCACCCTGGAGCACGGGTGGAAAAGATGTCCAACTCCTGGTTTTAACAGTAGCAGCAACAAAACGACCTCCCTGCCTCCAATTATATTTTTGAAATGAAGGAAGCGATTTTTGTGTATGGAGGACCTGTGAGCTCCGTTCAGTTGTGGTTCTTAAAACACATTCCTGGGATCAGAATTATTTATTTCTAAGTGTGTGTCTCTTGCACCAGGCTCTGCTTGGTCAATCTTGGGGTTCCAGGAAAATCAACAGAAGCCTGAATGACTTCCCTGTCCTAAGATGCATCCAGCCATCCCCTACAACCCTATATTTTAGGAGATGCTTGGTCATGCTGTCTGCCTGCCATTTCCAGTCATCACATTTATGAACCCCCGATGAGCTTTTGAGGTATGCCAGGGTTCCCCGCAGCGCTGCTTGGAAACGAATGCTCTGGGGTAATAAACTGTGGACAGATGGCAAAATTCCTTCTGCGTGAATGCTGCAAAAATGGCATGCATGCCAAGCCCTGCTGCGAAGGCTGGGAAAACTGGTATCTTGGGTGGGCTTCTTGTGAAATTCTCCAGTTTCCTTCCCCTGGAGACCTTCTGGTTTCCTGCCTCATCTTTGTTGTTTATCCTATTTGGGTGTTCTGTCTGCAGTGAAATTGAATAGGCCACAGTGGCTACAGCCAAATGCATGTCAGATTTGAACTTCCCCCTTCTAGCTTTCTCCCCACCTCGTCCCCCTCACTTAGCAGATTTCTGCTGTGTGCGCGCGCGCGTGTGTGTGTGTGTACGCACCGACCCAGTTCATGAATATACCACCTTACCTTAGCGTGATGGTACGGTGATTGATACGCATTTGTGGTCCTATATTGCCGCCTGCTGGTGACTGTTCAGCATCGTGGCACATGGATACATCTCCCTTCTACCCCACCATGCTTTTAACAGACAACTGGTTTTGCACCAACCAAAGGAGGTGTACCTACAGTTTGCATTTGACCTGTGGAATGCACTATAATCATAAAGCAATCAACAAATAGATATGCTTATGGCAGAAAGAAGGTAGTGCTTCATTTTCAAGGTGTTATGATCCCGGGGCTACTTGTGTGCAGAGTATAATCCAGAATTTAGATAAGGATGATTTCTGGATATCAGAGCTTTCATATTTTTAAGGCTCTAGTCCACCTGGTTGCAGAGAAGTGTTTTTAAAAGTGTGAGCTGAAGCTCTTGAATCCTCAGCCAAAAACAGGCCTTGAGTAAAGCTACTGGTTGTCAGAGCATCATTGGATGCACTAGCCTGCACTTCTGCCCATACAGCATGATTCCAAGTTGCTCCCAACCTGGAGTTTCTACAACCCAAATTGTAGGGTCCATGCTTGTGATATGAAGCAAACAGAAAAGGGTTTCCTGAGAACAGCTCAGGCCAGAGACAGGGCATGTACTAGATCAAATCGGAACATAGGAAGTTGCCTAGTCCATCTGGCTCTGTACGGTCAACACAGACTGCAAGCAAAAGCTTTCTGGGGTTGCAGGTGGGGGTTTATTGTAGCCCTGTCTGGAAATGCTGCAGGCTGAACCTGAGACCTTCTGCGTGTGGTGAGGCACATGCTCTTATCACTGAGCCATGGCCTTTCCTCTGTGGAGCTCTGTTGGCCCCTTTTGTCACCTGATCCCTGATGGTTGTGCTGCCATCTCCTGGCTAATCGCAGTGATGGAGGGTGCTGGAACCCAGCAGAGAACAGACCAGCAGCGCCCCTTACCAGCAACCTGGTACAACAGGCATCCAGTTGGAATGAGAGTTTTGAGTCTAGGGGTGTCTGTTACAAGCCCATGCTTTGACGTTACTGGTGACTTTCAAAAATACATTTTGGGTACATTTTGATGATTCAGAGTAACGATTTGATCTTGTCAATTGCAAGGTTGCCCAGATTCTATTTTGTGCTTTTGATGTATTAATGTGATTTTTAAAACTTTAAACTTTTAGTTTGCTTATGAGGTGCTTTTTAATACCTACTTGATGTATTTATACCTTGCCTTTTCTATGAAACCTAATTCTCTAAGGTGTCAAATGTATAATAATAAAACCATATATTATGACAAATAAGGAATTAAGAAAGAAGAAAGCTTATCAAGCAGCTAACAACAATAAAAGCATAAACCAAGTACCTGTTAGGTGCTACCAAAAGCTTGGACAAAGAATTCGGTTTATACTTGGCATCTGTCAAACATAGCAAGGGAGGGTATTCCAGAGTTTGAAGTTTCACTCAGAAAAAGACTGTTCTCAGCAGCCTCCCAGCTCCCCTCTGAAGTGGAGGACACCTGTAGCAAGGCTTCAGTGATAGAAATTAAGATGAAAGATGATTTGGCTTTAAACTAGAAATTACTTTATCTGCTGTTAAGAGCTGCTGAAACCTTTGTCAATGCCCTCTTATAAGGGATGCACAAGTCAGCATGGGCTGAGAAGCAAAGCTGGCTGGGCTGCTTAGAACCAATTTCCTTGATATCCAGTATGAATCTCACACTTGAAGCCATCTGTGCTGATAATCCCTACTTCTACTTCTCCCCCAATTCCCTTTTTAGAAGCCTCTCTTGAATTGCATCCAAGAATAAACATCCTCTTTAGTTCTGCAGATCTTAGTCACCCTGGTGATTTATATTCTCTGTGCCACACTGTACCTGGTCTTCTCAGGTATAACTAGCAGCCTGATCTTGGTTACCATCTCCTAGAGTGGAGGCCTGTAACACAGGGCCCATAGACAGCAGTGTGGCTGTAGATTCGTCTTGGGCCTGTCAGGCTTCTTGCGCCTTTTGATTTTTGTTCTCTTTCTTAGACAAAAAAGTGGGAAGAAATCCACTACTGAGCCTGGCATACTGCAAAGCAAACAGCTGCCCTTTGTTTGGGTTCAAAACAGTGTTTCTGAGCTCAGAAGGGCCCACCTGTGCCTTTTACTGAGGTTCCTGGACAACTTTTTAAAAAGTATCTCCAGTTGGCCTTCTGGCAAATTAATATTTTGTGACAGTCACAATATGGCAGCCATTTTGTGAGAGCACTCATGACATGCTCTCATAATTCCAAATGTGCCCACTGACCTAAAACGTGTGGACACCCTATCCTAGGATCAGTATTTTAAATCTCTGCTTAAAATAATCATGAGCAATTGAGATTGGAACTATTGGCTATACCCAATACAGCAACAGCAGGTTATGTTCTTCAGTCCAGCTTTGCTGAGATCAGATGCAAGAGGTGAAATCAAGGAGATTAAAGCCAGAAATGCAAAAGGCAGAGAAGATAATGCTTGGTTGACTAGGCAGCAGAAGAAAGCTGGCCTCTTAGGGCTGGCCGATCCAGAGGCAACTACTAGTACTGTGATACGGCTTCCTGCCAATCACTGGCCGTGATCTTACACTCCCTGCTTCTCTTGTGTACTTGAAGAAAGTTCTGCCGCTTACATGCATAGTAATGATCGTACACACCAACATAATGGGCTCAGAGGGGAGAATGGGCTCAGAGGGACATATTCAGAGGAATGCCAGCAATGATCTTGAACTTGAAACCCAGGGCAACAGCCATTTTGATTCGGCCATCGTTGCCTGGCTTGCAGAGTATTAATCGGAGTGGCCTGCAATCCACACTTCAGTCTTCAAAGCATCATTATGTGAAGTTGCCTGTGGCAAACACCAAGCCCATGTTCTGCAGGGCATATTGGCTAGCTGGAGGGGTGGAATTCCCAGTTCAATTCCCAACAGCTCTTAAAGTGAGCTGTTTAAAGTGAGCCTGCCCGAAACAGTGGAGAGAGGGTGCCAGTAGACAACACTGGGTCCAATGGTCCATTGGTCTGCCTTGTTATGAGGCAGGTCCTTCTAGGACAGATGCCTATTTCTTGACTATGCAATTGCCAATATGATTTTAAACATACCTGGCCAGTGGGTTGGGTCTTGATGGTCAAGGGGCAGGGCTTGGTAGTATTTTGGTATGTTAGGAGGGTGGAGTCTGGCAGATCATGGAGAGGGGTTAGCAGAAGGGGAAACACGCCCCAGCGCAAAGCACTTGCTCTAGTCAACAAAAATGATGATACTAGTAGAGGCACAGCTGACACATGGGCAAGTCAAATACCCAACGGTTTGGTAGCTCTGCTGGACTCTTATCCACTATTAGTTATCGGACAAGGAATAGAAGGACTTGCATAACAGGGTGGGCTGAAATGAAATCTCCACATGTTTTAGATGTCTAACTCCAGTATTCCTGCCCTTTCACTATGCTTGAAAAGACTTCTGCGATCCCACAGGTATTCTGCCCACCCCTGCTGTATAGGGACGGGTCTGGAGAGGCCATATTTGCCTACAGGCTCATGGGTTGATCTGTCTGTGCTCCAGGAGGGTCAGGGAGGTGTTTGCCACCCCCACTGGCAACCAGGTGTGGCTTCTCAGGGCCTTCAGTTAACTTGCCTGACAAGCACAGGCTCAAGAGCAGACCAAATTTCATCCCCTGTTTTGGCCCTTCATGAGTGCAGCAAGGTCTTAATGAAGGTTTTGTGGCTGTTCTTTAATTTTCAGTCTTGGTGTCCAAATCCTCCCCAAAGAAGCCTCGTGGCCGGAACATCTTCAAGGCTCTTTTCTGTTGCCTCCGCACACAGAATGTCAGGCAGACAACCTTTGGTGGAGAGCATGGTCCACACAAGGAAGAGACCAGCACCATTGCCAAGGTAAATGAGTGAATGCTGATGCAATTGATCATTGAAAATACAGTGAGAATTTGACAGACAGATCTAGTGGAGTCAGGGTGCTTTTTTGGCAGACCATGTCTTTATTCTGGCAACCCCTTATTTAGGGTGTTCCCTACAGTATGTAAACTCCGTCCTAGACCTCCAGCTACCAAAATGCTGAAATTATCTTTATCTGTGTGAGTCTCCCTGTGTGTACAAATTGTTCTCTCTTGCTTGTGACCATCCTCCTATCTGCCACAAACTCCTTAACATCAAACCAAGTAGCCTCTCTAACCGCTAGAGTGTTCATGATGACACACTGCATCTAACTAGCTCCCTCTCAAATCTATTACAATTGCCTTAAGAGGACGATGCAACTTTGGAATGGAAGCCACTGCTCTTAGGGCTATTTCTCACGCTATGTGTTTCCGTGGGAAGTGCTGCCTTGTAGGAAATAGCACAAACCCTCTATTCCATATGTGTGTATTTCATTCTTTGCATGCAGCCTAAGAAATCACAGTATAATGTGAGCATAAACACTGAAATGCAAGCATGTAAAATCTAAAAGTGAGCATCTGTCTATTTTCTGAACCAGAGGTAGACAACTTCTGTGGGTCTGGAACCACACCTTTATAATTCAGCATTACAACAGTAACAAAACCCACCTACCCCACACAATTTTGCTTGAAAACAAAGCAAGGACTCCCTATTTACCTTGCTCAAAAGCAGGATTGCCACTTTTTTTTCTTTTTTCTTTTTTACTGCCACTGCACCAAATTTCAGCTGTAAATTTATGGGTGGGGTAGCAGGGAAAACCTCCCCTGTACAAGTCAGTTGTGTATGTAGAAAACGCATCTCTAATACACATTGTTGGCTTTATGGTGTTATCCCTAATTTAAACATGTGCATGTAACCTTATTACTTCCTATCCATGGATATGGCCTTTCTTTACTTTTTCAAATGGATGTTAAGGTACATAATAAAGGAAGATGCCTCTGTTCATGTAAAAAGTGTAGCTTTCCTCACCACTGAATCCCCACCACCTATCTCCACACACTTAAAGAACAGGGGAGATGGCCTGACTCCTAAGCAGAGCTGAACCAGGGAACCTGTATTTGCAATGTAAACACTCTTCCTACCCACTTCAGCAGCATTCTAGGATGCAGCCCAAGCTTTTGCACTCCCCTGAACCTTACCAAACATCTGTGCCTGGCCGTATTTGTTTCTGTGCTGAAGACTTCATGGTCTGGAAATGCCAAATGTGTGAAGCAGCCTGTAAAATTCTTTTCCTTTAAAAATTGGTAGGTAAATCCGGAGGCATGGAGAGCTCCCCAGTGCTAGTATTGTAGTCTCACCTTTTTCACGATACCTACATCTTTGCTTTCCTCTTTTCCCCCCTTTTAGTCTGATCTGTTGCAGTGTCTTCAATACCAGTTTTACCAGGTATGTTTTAATTAAAAACTGAGGGAGTTGTATTTCCTCTTTAGACGGGACTGTGTTTACCTTGTGCATAGGATTGCATGCACAATTTTCAGCTGAGATGATCTCAAATTCAGATTCTGCCATCAAAATAAATGCAAGCAACTTTGCTCATTATTTAGTTACTTTGCACGCTCCCTTTTCTGCTCACCATGGGAAACAGACAAGAAGTTATGCGGAGAAAGCCTCACATCCTGATCTCTGGGATCTCTGCCTTTTGCATCCTGCCCTCAAATGTGGCTGCTGATAGTTTAGCATGGTTTGCCCCCATTGGCCCCAATTTAACTGAAGCTGGCTATTACTAATGCCTATTGACACAAATGGAACAATTTAAGTCCCACTGTTTTTAATATTCCAGAATTTTCTGTGAGACTTAACCACAACTAACAGGGAGGGAGGGGAAAGGAAGGAAGGAAGATAAAGACAGAAAGAGGAGATTCTTAGGATGCTAAATTGTGCACTAAATAATCAGTTCCTTGCTTGCATGGCATAATATTGGGTGCACAACGTATTCACAGTCCTGACTTGTGTGTGTCCATTTGTCCATATGTGTACATAGATTTATTTATGAGCAAGTTGGGAAAATAATATTCACTTGGTGAGCAAATCTCTCTTCCTGCCCTGCTGAAATGTTTTTCCCCTTTGCTGTTGAAAGAGCAAGTGAGCTAGAGAGAGTGAGAGAGAGCAGCCATGGGTCTAATTCCTACAAACAGCAGATAAATTGGTTAAAATGTTCCTATGGTATTTCACCTCCTGTTGCAGGTGAGGGAGTGTTGTTTCCCCATTAGAGGGGAAAGGAACCTCTGCACATGTAATATCACCCTAACACGGTGGTTATGTTGCAACTTGTCGTGTCTGTTTCTCTGACTCATGAGTTCCCTCCTGCAGTCAGAAATGGCAGTCAAGGAACAACTTTATCAGCTCAACTGATATAGTGCATGAACTAGGCCACAAATGCAACTTAAGGCACAATGGAGCAAGCCCGGCTGTGGTGACATTTTCATAAGCAGTGTGGGAGTTCAGACTGTTGCTCCTTCCTCACTGTAATGTCACTCTCATGCTTGCTGCTCACCAAATGTCAGGCTCACAGATGTCTCCAGACGGGAAGCTATTCACACACGAAGCAATCTATTGTGGCACCAGTAACTTCCAAGGAAAAAAAGGATTGTCGAAGGGAGGACAGTTTTGCCTTGTCTGCATGGCAAGCTGGAGAACAGAATCCATGGCCACTTGTAGGTAGCTACCACCTGGAGAAATTCAAGTCACTTCTTTCCGTGTATATGTGTGTATGCAAAACCCTTCTACCCTGCAAGATAGTTCGTAGATATGGCACATGCATTTGTGAGGTCCTGAAATCCTCATGTATTGAGTTATTTTTAATCCACCCTGTTCAGCTAAGGTAGTCCTGGAATATTTGAGTAGGAGTAATTTATGGAAGAATGTGTCCTTGTAAAAAATTGAGGTGGTGAAGTCTCTTGAGGGCTTTACCACCACAGTGAATAGAAGAGTTGTTTTGATAAAGGTTTTGTTGAACCATGCAGTGTAATATGTAGGCAAAGTCGGGTCCATGCTCCCCATACCTCATTTTTCGTATTGTTATTTATTTCTTAGATCTGTAATTGGTGGAAAGATGATAGCAATAAGGCAATTACAATACAATATAATAAAACAGCAATTACAAAGTTTAAAAATCCCATATATACAGGGAGAGAAAACGTCGTTGAAATCAATAAAAACAAATGATTCAAACCTATTACAACATATCAGTTTATGAACCAAAGACATATCTAAATAAAAATGTATTTGTCTGCCAGTAAAGTTGATGAAATTTCAACTGAGCTGGGTCCAACCTGAAAGTAAAGCTTAGAGACGCAGTAGACAGTCTACTGAAGATGTCAGTTCAGTGCACCCATTCAAGGCAAGGTCAAGGTCAGTGATTAGAAGCAGTATTGGCAATAAAACAGAAACGGTCACCATCATATTTTACTGTAACTCTGCTGAGCATTCCAATGCAGAATATCACATGCAGAGCCTTTTGGCTTACTTTTAAAAGGTTACAGAATGAAAAGGGAGTCTAGGACATCCTGCCACAATATTTTGGGATGGCCATGTGCACAGGTGGCTTTTAGGGCACAGTCTGTGTTTAGCCACCACTTTTTCGACAGAAGAATGTTCTAGTGGGGGATGCTGGGAGCTATAGGATTTTTTTTCCAGTCTCAACATGCACAAGATCGCACTCATAACCCTTTAGTATCTTTATTGTTCACATTTTTGAAATTATTAAACTTGGAAGCAGCTATGTCAGATTAAGGTATTTCGGACCTTTGCTTTGTGATACAGACTTGAAGTACCATCCCTAAATAGTTGTAGCTCTGCAGTATAAACAAATGTAGTTAAAAACTAATATTTTACAATTACTATACATTAAAAGTAATTTGCAAAGCAGTTCCCAGCACATACATATGTGGCTTATTTGAGGCCTGGATTAGTAAGGGCAATTATTCCCATGAAAGTCCTACAGCTTTTATGGAACATTCAAAGGTCTAGGAACACTCTCAGAGGGCAGCACAGGGATCTCCACTGCACAGGACTGGAGTCTTAGGCCACATGGAAGTCTTTGAATATGGTTCCTACTCCTAGACATTTTGCCTGTGCCATCCTCTTCAGACTAAGATGGATACCTTGCTAAAGCTAAGTCCATTTCAGAAGGCTGAATATCCTCTTTTCCAGTGCTTGAAAGCTTATTAAATATAGTTCGAGTAACACAGTTACATGTAGCCCTTGTGGCTAAGTTTGGCTCTCTTTTTCTTCCAGATTCCTGGGACATGCCTTCTCCCTGAGGTGACTCAGCAAGACCAGGGGCGAATTTGTGTGGTGATCGATCTGGATGAGACCTTAGTGCACAGCTCCTTCAAGGTGACGCCTTAGGCTTGCTCCCTGCTTTCTGCGATGCCTGCTGGTGGAAGGGCAGTGCACATGCCCAAGGACGATAGTGTGGAGGGGATAGCAGGGCAACAGCAGCTTTGCTTCAAAGGGATGATGCGGTTCTATGGAACAAGCTTTCTGAGACATGAATTCCATTCCACATTTTCTGATGGGTCCTGTCTGTGGTTGGAAATAAAGCAAGTAATCCTGTGGTTCCTGTGAGGGCAACCCAAGAACCACAAGGTACTGCAGAGTTCCCACCCCAGGGCCTAGTCACTAAGGCACACATTGGAGGAGTACTAGCCCCCAAAAGCTGGAGGGTTCCAGACTGCCAACACCAGGTCATGTAGTGGTCATGACTGTCATTTAAAAGTGGGACAAACATAGAAGCAAAGACAGAAACAGAAGCAAAACTTCAGTGGATAAGGAAAATTATTTCTTGAGAGATTTAGGAGGCAGATTCTACAGTCATGTACAGAGATCAGATAGAGACATTGGTGGATGGGGGAATATTGTGTAGTGTTTGCTTCTGAAATTAACTTGTCCTTGTAAAAAATTTCTCAGCCAATCAGCAATGCCGACTTCATAGTGCCTGTCGAAATAGAAGGGACAACCCATCAGGTAAGCCAGTTGCTCCAGTTGAGGGAGGTTTTTTGTTTGCCTGTCACATTTATTTCTCCCTGCTGTATGTCTCAGAAGTGAGTAGCTAGTCCCATCTTGTGAGCCAGGAACTTTCCGCTCAGATTCTGCTCAAGAGAAGGAGAAGACCATTCCGACAAGGCTTCAGCCTGGTTCAAGTAATCCAGGATAGGCTGTTATCAGGCAGCACGGCCTATTCTTGATTACTTGTTTCAGGAGGCAGCCCCTGGCCACTAGATACCAGAAGGAACAACTTGGATGGACAGTGTAGCAGCAGGAGCTTCAGGAAAGAAGGTGAAAGATGGTGAAAGATGGTGGGGATCCCGGAGGAATGCGGAAATATTCTGAATTAGTGACACTTATTTTTGTACTCTGTTCAATGTATGTAGCAGCAGTTTGCACACAGCCACGTTTGCAGCCACTTTTATTAAAGTGCACCTAGAATAGTTGAACAATGTGAAAGCATAGTTATTTCCTTATCTGTCTGCAAGGGAAGGCATTAATTGGCTGTGCCATGTTTTGCCTGATTCAGATTAAAAGGATGGTGTCCTACTGAAACAAGAGTGGGGAGTGTGGGGTGGAGGACTCGGTTCTGCTTTATTAATAGTCTTAATGCTGAACTGTCTAAGCTGCAAATTCCTAGGAAACAGTGAGCTGGGACAGCTTTCTCCATGATGAGTACACTGTCCATGCAGCTAGTTCTCAAAGAGTGGAGAGCTATTGGGAATGGAAAATTGAAGGCTGAGTAAAAAAAAGTAAGGGTGCTTCCAGACAAGGCATTTATCACATCATTACTCTGCCTCATTCATAGAATTGTATGGGACATCTAGATCATGTCTTCAACTCATAGCCTTCCCAAGTTTTCTCGCCCACTTTTTTTCCCTTACTGCAGAAAATCCATTAAGGAGAAAAAAATGGAATAGTTGAGCATATCTTCTAACTGGTGGCACTAGGAGCCTGCATCTGGAAGCACCCTGAAAGTCAAATAGGATCCAGGCTCAGGAACTCCAGGGATTTCTCCCTTCCCTTTTGGGAGTCTCCTTCATAGACGACACACAGGAGGTTCCAAAAGAGTTGCTTAGTTAAGTAATAAGTGACCTGTGTGCTCCCCTCACCTTTGCCGCTAACTTCTAGGTGTATGTGCTGAAGAGGCCATTTGTAGATGAGTTCCTGAGGCGGATGGGGGAGCTGTTTGAGTGTGTGCTGTTCACTGCCAGCCTGGCCAAGGTAAGAGCAATACAGGAGGTCTAGCCTGGACTTGGATTTGGGGACTGGTCTGAAACATAGGCAAAAGGGGCAGGAGGGTATCATGCAGCTTTCAACTTGTGAGATGGACCGGTTATACTTTGAGACTTTTGTGGTAACTCTGGGCTAAGTTGTTGTGGTCTTGCCAGACCTTCAGGGCTGCATACAGCTTGTTCACTGAAAAAAATAATAATTATGTACCAAGAACCACTGCATAATCAATGCAAAATTGGATTTTTTGCATATATTTGCTTGTTTTGCAATTTGTTTTGCTTTTCTGTGCTGTAGAGAGGAGTCAGGAACCTCACAGAACACCAAAATCCCTAGTACCAACTGACCACTAGAAGTTCCACCCAGCCCCTCTCTTCTTGTATAAAACATCATGGATGATTTGTAAACTTTATCTCCAAATTCATAACAACTTGAAACACTCTCTGTCTACACACACACACACACACACACCCATGCCAATATCAAATTCTGCATTTGCACAATCTGTGCATGGATGGATAGAACTCACAGAGCCCTGCTAGCCTTCTGATCAACCATTTGGACATTTTGTTTATATACTAGTCTAATAGTGCACCCCATTTTCACTCTGCCTAGTATGCTGATCCAGTAACCGACCTGCTGGACAAGTGTGGAGTCTTCCGAACCCGACTTTTCCGGGAGTCATGTGTGTTCCACCAGGGCTGTTATGTCAAGGACCTCAGCCGGCTGGGACGTGACCTACACAAAACCTTGATCCTGGACAATTCTCCTGCCTCCTATATCTTCCATCCAGAGAATGCGGTGAGTGTCTCTTGGGACTGCCCATAAGTGCTTATGCTGGGTGGGATTGCATATTAAGAAGCAGTCGAGCAGGACTGTTGATGTTACCTAGCAGGCAATTATAAAAGGCTTTTTAAATCACAAGAGGAGTCTCAGCCTTTATCAGTTAAACACCCTTCGACCTAGATTTTGTAGAGGAAAGAAGTACAGTTACATCAGCAGCAGGTGGGAGGCAACTTCTTGAACAAGAAATTCCCCTCTTCTCACCATGGTCTTCTCAGGTAGCACTTGCTGCAACACTTACATGCATTCATCTCACAGCACGTGGCAGGCGGTTGTCTCAGAAGAAGACCCCCCGCACCTTGTGCCAGAGTAAAAGGGAAATGCCTCTTCTGAACTGGCACTAGCTCAGAGCACTGTGCAGCAGCATAGTAGTGCTGGTAGACATGTTCTCATTTTCATTTTTAAGGTGTTATTATTTTAAATTGTGGCATACTGCCTTGATGTCTTTTTAGCAAATAAAGTGGCATAGCAATAGCAGCGATGTAGAGGACCAGATTCTTCGTAGGCCTCACCTGGAGTACTGTATCCAGTTCTGGGCATCACAGTTTTAAGAAAAATGGAGCTGGAAAGGGTTCAGGGGAGGGCAACAGGGATGATCCAGAGAGTGGAAACAAAGCCCTGTGAGGAGAGATTGAAAGAACTGGGCATGTTTAGCCTCAGTTAGAGAAGACTGAGGGGAGATGTGATGCTGTTCTGCAAGTTCGTGAAAGGCTGTCACAAAGAGGAAGGACAGGATCTCTTCAGTCATCCGGAGTGCAGAACATGGAATAACAGGCTCAAATTGCAGAAAGCCAGACTCTGACCTACGAAGGCTGTGCCTTCTCCCACACTAGAGGCATTCTGAAATGCAGGTGGACAGCCATCCGGGAGGGAGTCCTGCACTGAGCAGGGGCTTGGACCTGATAACCTTCCCGACCCCTTCCAACTCTTCAGTTCTATGATTCTGTGATTTTTGCTGCAAGGGCTGGCACTGGGGGTGCCAACCCCCATACCAGAGCACTCCTTTCTCCATATCTCTCCACTGCCCCCTGCTCAAGCTAGAACTGTGCATCCTGTCATGGTCATTTATCACATGCAGGGAGGTTTTAACGTGAGAAATCACACCAGACGCACACATTCTGAAGTGGCTTAGTTCCAGGAAGACTATAACCTATCCTTTCCCCCTTAATATTTGAGATCACTCCCCCCACCTCCACACAATTTTTCTCACAATTCCAAACAGTTCTCATTACTCTGCAGCTCCAAAAATATTATAACCTTCTGCTGTGGTGCTGTATTTGCAGGGGGTGGTGGTAGTTAACATTTGCAAGGTCACACAAATGACAACTAGTGAATGATTTTACTTAGTATAGTCTGGCTAGTTTTGTTAGAATTTTGCAAACACTTTACAGTTAAATTCTGTACCACAGGATTTTGAACATTTACCTGAATGCATTGATTTTGCAGCTCTTTCTCTAAAAACCTGAGCTTATTTGTATATGCCTGATATGAAGACAATAATATGTTTTTCATATTAAGAGGATTTAGCCACAAGTCAAGTAATTCCTGCTGCATTTTAATCCTACTCCCAAGTTTCTAGCTTTTGGTGGTGGTGGTGTTTCTCCTTCCTTTTAACTTTCCCACAATGTTATGTCTCTGTTTCCTGTCCATGTGCACCCTGACTGATGTTTCCTTGTGCATCTGACTCCTCTGTAGGTGCCAGTCCAGTCTTGGTTTGATGATATGGCGGACACAGAGCTGCTGAATCTGATCCCTATCTTTGAGGAGCTGAGTGAAGCAGAAGATGTTTATACCAGCCTCGGCCAGCTGAGGGCACCCTAAGGCCCTCCTAGCGCTATGCCCACAGGGGAACTTTTTCACTCAGTGCCTTCAGTATTGGCAAGGAGGGAAGGGGAACCTTCCTCACAGCCTGACTGCCAGGCAGATGCAAGCACTTTGGAGGCAATAACCTGCCTGGCCTAAACCCACTGGGCATCGCCAGAGCAGTTTCCAACCAGGGTATGGCTAGTAGCCAGAGCTGCTAGCCCTTCCACCAAAAGCAGGGACATCCAAGATGGATGCCCCTTCCCCAACAGCGCTCGTATCTATGCATTGCAAGAACACAGGGAGCATCAAGAGGAGACACCATTTTTCCAGGGCTCCACTTCCTCCCTGCCCCCTCTAGTTACTGCAGGGTGATTAGCACTGGTTGGGGTTTGGGCAGCTCAGACTGCCTTTCCCTTTGTAACCTAAAGCATTGCCAAATGACTTGGCTTTTTAAAAAAGCTATATGCCTTCCACTCCCCTTCAGATGCTCCTGAGGGTGCTGCTTACCCAGCCCCTGCTGGGACACAGCCATGTTGCCTAGCATATTTGGCGCCTTATCATCTCTTAGCCAGGGTGAGGAGTCAAGAATGCCATCTCTTGGCTCTCAGATGCTTCTTTCTGTCCTAGCCAGGTGTCCAGAGGTGGAAACCTGTTTTTCAGCTGCTTAGGCCACTGGTCTTCTTCGAAGATTCCTTTCCTTGCCTATGATACCTGGCTAGAAAGAGAAGAATCTTTCTAGCGCAACTGTTTTGTGAGGCCTCCTTTGCCCTGCCCCTTTCTGGCATTTCCCATTCTTTCATTGGGTCTTGGTCCCTAATTTTCCTGTTGCCTTTGGGGAAACCTTGAATATGATTTGTGATTGGGTTATACCTATGAGCAAAAGATAAAGGCCCAAAGAGAGAGAAAACCTTACATCCCCCCTCCAGTGTTAGAGGCAAGGCATAGATGAGGACTGAGGCAACATCTGGTAGTTTGCCAAACCCACACTCCATATTGGTTTAGGACCAGTCTGGCAGAGATGCCCAAATCCTTGCACTCTGGCCCAGTGTTGCTTCTTCGGGACCAGGTTATGCCTTTGCCTTAAACGACTCTCAAGAAGCAGGCCACGCCAAACCAACGGGGATGCCTCAGCACCGTCCATTCTTCCGCCTTCAGTCAGTTGGATCGCTAGCCTGAAGGACAGGAGGGTGCGACTTTTTCTTTTGCCCAAAGGTGGCTTACCTCCCTCGATGGCGCTCAGTCGTGCCAGAAACGTTTCCTGGCTTCCCACTCAGGACTTGCTCTAGGCTCCGTCATCATAACTTGAAAGCCCAGCCCCTCGGGTGGCCTCAGGGAATTATGGACTAGCATCTTAGAAGCTGGGGTGGGGTGGACATTTTTCACATGTGCACACAGCCTGCTCCATGTCGCGCTACTGGGGGAGCAAGGGGAGACGTCGCAACTGCCTTCTCCACGATCTGTGCCCTGCCACTGCCTGACCTCACCGTGCTTTTTTGTCTAGCTTTCCCAGCAGCCAGCCCGGGTCTTTCCCCCAGCATTCGCAGGTGGCATCAGCTCTGAGAAACCAAACATGGACAGGGTTTTTCTTAATACTTATATAAGATGGCACTGCCACAGCCAGTCTTTTCTCTCGTTCCCCCTCCCATGTGTATGGTACGCTGCCCCCGCCAGTCACATCCAACATGCTGTGAACAAGTCCTTTCCAAACACCATTGGAGGGACACCCAAATGGATAAACAATGTCAGCTTGCTTCTCTCCCTTTCCTCTGCATAAGCAATACTTTGCAAGTGACATCATGTTTAGCCACTGTGGAGCTGGCTGGGGGTGGGTGGGGTGGGGGAAGAGCTCTTTTTGTGCATTTCTGGTGCTCCCTCCTTGGCTTGGATATGGTGAGGGTCTGTGGGGTTTGTATGTTATTTCCTCCTGGCCGGGAGGCTCAAAGCTTCAAGCTTTGCTAAATGGTTGAGTAAGCAGGCAGGGCTTCGCCTGATCAATGTGCTCTCCTATCATTCTTTTAAGTCTGCCGATGGCTTACTAGTTGATCCAGGACTAGGCCTCAACTGGTGCATGAAAGAAATCTGCTGCTGCTTTCCCATCCCTCCCACTCTTGGCCTTGCTTTCAGTATGAGGCATTGTCCTCTTCTTGAGTCAAGCTGCGGGTGTAGCTGAGGCGTGTCTTCTTTTACTCTACTTCTAAGTGCACATGGGCCGATTCCAATCAAGACTACTGTGCTCTCTGAGGGAAGGAGTAAATCTTCCCTCTATACATCTCCCCACAATTCTTCCCCTCTCCCAATAGTGGAGAATTTTGAGAAAAATATTTGGGGGCTTAACTCTCCCCTCCACCAGGAGCATAGTGATCCCTATCCAAATTGGGGCCACATATAGAGCTTTAACTTTTAACTTTAGAGTTAAAAGAGAAAGAGCCCCTCAGCCACACCCTTCATGCTTAGCATGACATCTAGTTTGGCTCTTTGTCTCAGCTGTTGACAGTCCATATCCCCATGTGTAGGGACCAGCTCCCCAGCATTTTGGAGGGAAAAGGTTTCCCCGCCATCATTCTGTCAGCTGCTGTTTCTTTCCAGGATACAAAGCAGTGAGAGCTTTAAACATTGCAAAGTGAATGAATACTGGAAAGAACAGCACTTCTTTGTTTCTCTTTCCTGGTTGAATCCATGCACATTTTTCTCTTTGCCCTTTGGCGGCTGAGGAGAAATCAGCTTTTGCTGCCGCCGCCGCCTCCTCCTCCTCCTGCATTCTGGCCATGGCTGCCCTTTCTTCAGTGTGAAACTGGCTCCCAGTTCCCCCACAGTGCTAAGCTTTCGCCTCCATCTGAGGTGAAAACGTAACACTAGCAAATGACACTCCATTTTCTACACTCCCCCAAGGCTGTGCTCTACAACAAAAGATGGGACTAAGAGGAGACTGAGATGACCGGCCTTTCTTCCTGTCCAATTTGCAGGGTGAAATGCTGCACTTGCTGTGTGTGAGGCGTTAGCTTCATCTGAAGGTGGCCAACATGGGATGGACTTTGAATACCCTCACAGTTTTGCAAAGCTGTAGGAGTTTGCTTGACAAAACTCATGTGGGACTGTTGGAATCTCAGGTCAGGTTCAATCCTGTCAGATGGTCCTACCAGAGGGAGAAAATTGGATGTGTAAATTTACGCTTAAGGATAGCATTGCTCTCTAGTGCACATTCTTCTTCTGAAGGTCAAGCGCGTTAAGTCTTGTTTGATAGCCATATTGATACTGGGTCCAATTGCCAGGATGGAGACTGTGCCTTGATTATACCCAGCTGGTGATGAAGGTAAAGTACCAGCACAGAGGCACCCCAGCACTCAAACAGGCACGTGCCTTTTAGGGGTGCCCCCTGTGTCCACTTCCGCTGAAGCTACCACATACAGTGATACTTGCTGCCATATCCAGCTATCTTTGGTGCCCCCTTTCATACAGGGAATGGTTGCTGGTGGCTTTTGAGTAGTGAGAGCCATGGGCTTCCCCCTTCTCCATCCACCTCGTGCAAGTGTGAGAATATCAGTTGCCTTTGTCACATGTCTTCACTCGCTGGGCTTTTTGTTTATTTTTTTAATTTTATTTTAACTGAAAAAAATAAATAAATCCCTAAACTTGAAGCTGGCACTGTCGCCATTTCGAACTTTCTATTTTTGGAATCTTTGTATTAACTGCAATTAAATAAAAAAGAGAGCACGTGTGTGTGTGTGTGTGCGTCATTTTTCCTCCTCAGCTCTTTGAGAGAACTGGGTCTCGAAAAGAATAGGTTTTTCTGACTGAGCAGGTAAGTTAAGCTTTCTTCCCTTCCTGCAGGAAGAAGCATGCCTCACAAGTCCAGCCGACAGGGTTGGTTTATAACTCGATGACTCCACTAGATGGGTGGGTAACGTCTTCTGGCTGTCCAGACATTTTGGCCTACAATATCTGTCATTCCTCACCAATGGCTATGCTATCTAGGACAGAAGGGAATCATAGGCAAAAACATTTGGAGGGTTGCAATATGCAATGTTCATGCAATTTATAAAATACAGGTGCCTCTATCTACATTGCACCAATTGTCTGTAGATACAGTGAGAAGGGTGCAGGAAGAATTTAAGGATATTTTCCTCTGAAGTTCTAAATCGCCTTGTTCCAGCAGTGAGTGGGGCCAGAGGGAAAGGTGCTTGCGCACCATGTGTCTCTTGTCGGGAGACAGTGGGATGAAATATTGCCAAAAACATAGAAAAGGGAAGGTGCGGATACTCCAGAGGAAAGAACTGTAAAGCCTGGAAGTCTGTGTCTGGCCCACAGGCTGGGGGTTCCCATGCCTACTAGGGGTGGTCAGGAGCCCTACTTACAGAGGACTGTATAGCCTGAACTGCCTGATCCTGCTTAATTTTGGAAGCTAAGCAGGAACAGCCCTGGTTAGAATCTGAATGGGAGACTTGAGGTTCTACTTTGAGCAGAGGGCTGGGTCTGATGAACTTCTAGGCCTCTTCCAACCACATGATTGTATTGGAAGAGTTGCCAGAGGACAAACACATGAAGCTGTGTCCTCCCTCTTTGATGGACTATCCATGCCATGTCCAGTTCACAGTGGAACTGTGCTTTCGCACAGAGGGAGAGCAAGGGCCTTGCGGCTGATCCAGCAACCTGTGCAGGCAGCCAGGTCATCCAGTCAAGGTTTTCCAGCCTCTGGTGAGTTGCATTGTATTTCCGTTCAAATTACAGTAACTCTCCCCCCACCCAAATTTGCCTTTATCCACATAATGGGTCATGCAATGCAAATTGGTGCCCCCTTTTCTCAGTTTGGGGGGTGCATAAGATCTGTGTGCAAGGGGAAGGCCGAAATTCCTCATGCCACTTCCTTGCAAGCAGGGAAGCAGTGACCGCTGCTTGCCTGCCTGCCTGCCTGCCTCCCTTCCTTGCAAGGGTAAAGTCATGGCCTCTCTCAACCAGTGCACCTTTGCTGCTCAATTCCGGGCAGCCCACTCTAATGTGGTTAGCTCCACATCCCCTCATGCCCAGGCGTGCTGCATTATTGATACACAGCCGCACTTTAGAAAAATCGATGGGAAATGGGTGCGGTGGACATGGAGCGTGGTGGGAAGGCGGCCTTGGAGTCTCTGCATCTCCTCACGTTTCAGGGCTGTCAAGCGAAACAAATAGCTGCTTCCCCTAAACTAATCCAGTCCGCTGAGCTAGGCTGGCACTGATTGGCCCTGGCAGCTGATCTGTAGGCAACATGCAAATGCAGGCAAATCTTCGTGAGTGGGCTGGGATCCTGGGGACTGATGTGTTGCCCAGTGCTGGAGCAGCCCATGCTTGCCACCTTGAGCGCCTCAACTGTGGGCTGGAGAAGCACCCCCAGGCAAGTGCAAAGCAGAGGGCGAGGGTGGGTGGGGTGAGGAGGGAGGGGAAGGGAAGGGAAGAGAGGGGACCATCCAGGCATGACTTGGAAGGGGGGGGAAAAAGGAAAGGATGGATGTCAAGATGACCTGATGGATGATGCTTTTCGAGAAGTGCCTCAGGAGGGAGGAAGACTTGAAAGTCCACTTTCAGCAAGGGAAAGTGAGGGGAGGGTCTCTGCAAAAGCAAGAGCTTGCTTCACAGTGTGATCCTCTGACAGTCTACTCAGAAGTTAAGTCCACTGAGTTCATTGGAACTTACTGGCAGGTAAGCACAAATAGCTGTCAATTCTAAATTTACTGGGGGTCAAACCTGCCTGCACTCTGTTGAGTACACTTGGATAAAGATAATCTTATTTGTATACTGCCCTTCTTCCAAGCTGTTGAGATCAGCATGCAGAGAACTTTCATTTTATCCTCACAACAACCCTGTGAAGTAGGTTAGGCTCAGTGATTTGTTCAACTCGTTGAGCTTTATGGCTGAATAGGCTCCATACCATTTTTATACAGATCAGATCCAGGTTCCTCAGCAGATGTGAGCTGGTGGTGAACAAAGGGCACTCTGTATGCACCCAGAAGCCCTCTGTTGTCTCATGCTCCCTGCATTCCGGGACATGACAATGAAGTCAAATTCACAAGTGATGTTCTGTCTTGGGTTGCACTCAATTTAGTGTTTGTGTGGATATACCACTGATGACTTGGTGACATCATACAGCACCACTAACAACAGAATCGAAGCTCCATCCCTCACTGGCTCTCCAGTAGGTGCTGGTGCCCCCCCCACCCCCCCCATCCCCAGCTCTGGAATCTGCAGTAAATAAAATGAGCAGGTCTGAGTGTATCAAGCTGGGGACTCACACCAATAAATGCAAACCGAAGAAAACTGTAATTCTTCATTCACTCTAATTTTTTTCTGATTATAGTATGTATCAGATTGTGTCTATGTATACTGAAAAATGGTACATATGTTGTTTCAGATTGCAGAATATTTTAAATAAGGGTTAGGGCAATGAATATAAAGAAGAGAAAGATGAATTTAGGAGTTGTTGCACTGGACATACAGCCCTCCTGACTACCAGATGCCACACCCAAAGCTGCCCTTGGTTCTGTGCATCATCTGGAATTTTTTCTCCAGAGTGCTTGCTTTGGAAAAGAAGAAGAAATCTAGATTAGTACTTCTTTTTTAAATGAAATCTTCATTCAATGTGATACATTTCCCAAAACTTAATCTTTCAGACCCTGAAGAAGCAAAAATGGTATAGCTCCCTACCCTCTATTGCAGTTGTTCCTTCCAGAACATGGCAAGCCATAGGAAGTTTGATTGGCAGCCCTGTCAGGTTCATTGGCATGGTTTCCAGTACCTGGGGCACTGTGGCATGATATATCTGCTGACAATTCTTGGATGGGCAACCCCAGGCCCCCTCCCCACATCCCCAGCTATACTTCCCAGGGGTTGCCTAAGCAAAGGAAATAATTATTAGCTCTGTGATGCACCTAGATCCACGAATGCAATGTCATGTCATATCTCTTCTTTTCCTCACCATATTAACGTCTAACATTCAAAATATGTCAGATGTGGTTTTAGTTGTCTTTATTAAAATTTTTGCATCACCTCTCATCCTTGCGGATACCAGGGCAGTGTACAAAGACCATAACTAAAATTGTCCACACAAAATAGAACGTACTATGAAAATGATAAAATATAATACAAAAGCAGAAGAGCAGCAGTTGAAACAATATGACAGGTTAGCAAACTTAATCATAATCAGCTGCTGGGGCAAATAAAGATGTTTTAATTTGACCACAAGACATTTGCAAAGTGGGCACCCGTTGCACTTCTACAGGGATGATACTGCATGATCAGGGTGCCGCTACAGACAAGACCCTCACCCTGAGCCATTTCAGTAGATTAGAATGCATTGCAATAGATCAGTATCAGTGCTATGTATTAATAATTGCTTTTGAGGGAGGGGATTTTTTTTAATAAACAGTGGACATAGGAAATTTAATAAATGTCATAGCGGGTGTTTTTAAACTTCTGCACATGCTGAGTTCAGTGAGAACATGGGTTGTACGTGACACAGAACCACAGGAAGCGGCTTGAAATGAGCCGGCCATTCACTCCGTTTGGCTGGCATCAGGAGCTCTCTAAGTGGTCCCACAGGTTTGCTTTCCTGCCTCACCTGGAGGTGCCTTCTGCAGGTGCTCTGCCACTGAACTATGGCTCCTCCCCTGTTGGTAGAGCCTGCCTTATATGGAATGGACACCCTCAGAGGCATGGGCTCCCCTGGCTGGATATGGGTGTGGGGGGGGGCGTTTTGGCAGGAGCATCCTTCACAGTTCCTGCTTCCATTGCCAGATCCCACAAATAAAACACCTTTAGGTAGGATTTCAGAGACTTGCATTGTTGCTCCAATATTTTTACTTGGTGGCAATAAAGTCATGGTGGATTCAGAACGGAACTGAATGCAATGTCCACCCTAGCATGGTGTTATGAACTGGTGATCATATGTCACTAATGGATGGCATCACATAAAGGCACTGAGAGACTCAGGATTAGATAAATCTCTTCTGGAAATAAGGTCAGAAGCTTATATTGATCAGCACAGAATGGACCTGGAAAGAACACTTAGATCCCAGGGCAGTTCCAACCAGGCAGGGACTAAGAGCTACCTGGGTGGGGGTGCCGGCACCCCCTTTAGCAGTCCCACCCCCAAAGACTGATTGGCTCCAGAACTGATATTCCAGTGCAGACATTTTTGCTCTGTGCTGAGATCTTCCATGCCGGATTGGGACATTGATGCATGAAGAGTACTTTTGATGTGACAGTTAATGCTCTGTGTTGAGTGCAATGGGATGATTCCTCTGGGAAAAAAAACTTATAATTTTTTAGTCGAGTGCTATGTAGGAATGGAAAATCCACTCAGAGTTTTCAGGAACGGTCCACAAACAGGAAGAAAGGAGACTGGGGTATCCTACTTAAGCTGAGTGTCTTCCCTGCAAAATCCATATGGAAGATTTCCCATCCCAGTGTAATATTTTCCATGTGCGCTCCTCCTCCACAGCAGGAACCATTCCAGAGCCTGCTCACTGAGGGAGAGCTCAAGAAAAGGATCAGTGCGAAGGCTCAGCCGATCCCCACTAGTTCTTAGAGGAAGGGAAGGTGCACTTTCACAGTTTTCAGAAGTGGTGCAAGGCCCGGCCTCACAAATGTCTGGGTGTTTGTGCCCCTTTCCTTTGCCAGGGAAAGAAAGGGTCAGACAATTCTTTCCAGCATGAAGTCCAAGCAAGCAGGCTTGCCCTGCATGGGGCT